GAGCGTCGTCTGTATACATTTTATCGTTTTAAATGTCCAGTGTTAAACGCGTTGTCAAAAGTTATTTAAAGGTTTATGACGACCAATGTCAACAAAAATTCAGAAAATACAGATGATTTGAATCTTTTTGGAAATTGTTTATTAATTGTTATTTCATTCTTCCTGCATTATTTGAGTAACTAACTCTAAATTAATATGAATGCTCACTTGTAATTTCGAAAATTAAAAAATGTAATTGTTAATTTAATGAACTAATAAAATATTAATTGTAATTATTAGCTAGTTAGTAGATTGAATTCTATTCAACACTGTTCGTAACTGAAAAATAAAAAAATTCTATTTAACAAATTTATATTATACATTCAATATACTATTGAATCAAATTAAAATAATGTTACATAAAAGTTAATAATACCACGAGGTTTAATATATAAGTTTATACATAAAGTTTAAAAAATTGCATAAAAATTGAAACATACTGCATAAAAGTTACTAATGAAAGCCAGACAAATATCTTATCACTCGTTAATACTTAAACTATTACTCAAATAAGTTTCAGCCGTAATCAGATGACGAAAGGATATTATCATTTTTTCACAACTTTGACACTATAATGTCTCAAAACGCAGCGTGTCCAAGGTGCCAGATTTAATCTTTTATAGTTTTCAGTATACAATCATTAAAGTGTTACGAATGAACTAAGGAGATTCTGCCGGTGGAAATAAGTCCAAATACGACATCATTCGGACTATTTTCAATAATATATCATTGTTATCCGCAACATTACGTATGAGTAAAAATTGTTCAATCACAATCGAATTTGGACACATTTTCGTCGCGAGAATCTCTTCAATTCATTCATGACATTTTCATTAATATATATTGAAAATTGTAAAAGTTTAAATTTTCATTCGAACGTGATTCCTTATCTCATCTACGTTTGTTTACATTGTATGCAGACTGTCGGTCGCTGACCTTTGACGTTCGAGCTGGCTGGCTGGCCAAAGTTATTTGAGGATTTATTCAAAGCCTTCGAATGGAAGATACAAATAAAAGATTAAAATATCATCGACGCCCTGAATAAAACGCCCCCAATAAAAGAAGTATCTTTTATTCGTCGGATAATTCTCGTCGAATAAAGATACTCTTTTTATTCAAGCTTCGAATAACGAATAAAATTTTTTTATCTTTTATTCATTATTCAAAATTTTTATTTAGATACAAATTTTGCCCATCTCTGCATGGGATTCTTCAAAGTGTTGAAGTGCTTGAAATATCTGTAAGTCTTGAAAAATCTGAAAATATTTGAACGTCTTCAGTCTTGTCGAATATTGAATGTGCATGCAGGATATTAATAAAAATGTAGGTCACTTTCACATGGTGGATTCTAAATGCCAACCTAAGACGAAAATCAGTAATGACGAATCTGGGTCCGAGGGTTTGTTTTTGAGTTATTAATTGTTGAAAATACGGGAACAATACTTGCGAAAAACGGCTAACGCGATGGATTATACTATGTACTTATAACAGTCGATTCCCAACTGATACACGGTATCGATCGATAGCCTAGCTAAATTTGGAATTAAATATAATTGGAATCAAATGAATTACACCGACACGACAAATAACTGCAGAGCGCGCCTCTCCAGTAGAATAACCCGCCGTGTCAGACGTATTTCCTCCATATTTTCAACAATTAATGAATTAATATTTCGGAAACGAAGCTTGGCACACAATTCCGTAATTCTTGATTGTCGTCTTATTGGTAGTTTTGCACATATTTATTAACACGACGCATAACCCATCGCGCCAAAGTATACCGCCCTTATTTTGCCCACCTGACCAATAATTTATAACTGGATAACGAAGTTTCGAATGCAATTTCGTCATTCTTGATTTTCTTCTTAGTTTGCCATGTATTATAGAATCCACTATGTAAAAGTGCTCCACACTTTTATTAATACCTTCTATACTTTGGAAAAAGATATGAGAGTAACATAATATGATTTTTACAATGATATTTACAATGAGTAACACTTATTTCAGTTCTTAGGAGATCGAGTCCTGTAATTTCTATCCATTATTTTTTCAAAACTAATTCTATATTTCGGTAATTTCCATGGTCAGTTTTTACTCTTCAGTGTTATTAATAGACGTAATCGCTGAACAGAAAAAGTCATTTCGATGTCCTACGAATTTGTCAAAACTAATTTAATATCTGGGTAACATTTCCTGTGAAGTACTGTTACAATCAAATACGATTTCTTTTTGTTTGCGTTTCTTTACTCGAGAGTCTTGATTGTTTGGTTGTCGACGATAAGAAAGTCGCGAAGAAAGGTAAAATATGTAATCGTAATCGGATATTATCGTTGATCGAATACAGCGACTATGTCCTCGGCCTTCGCGGAGCCACGTGGGAAAATTTCGGTGGCATAAGATGGGAATTGTTAGGATGTCTCACCCTCGCCTGGATAATCTGCTACCTGTGCCTGATTCGTGGTGTCAAGTCCGTCGGGAAAGTCGTCTACTTCACCGCCCTTTTCCCTTATGTCATGCTTACGGCGCTGCTGATACGAGGTAAGAGGGACCAGAAACGTTTCTCGTGTAATAGAAAATTCTTCGATCGATGTGATTAACACAGAATTACCGAAGATGGACGTGTATCTATTTCTATCACGTTGGTAAAGAAGACAGTTTCTGGAAAATATGCAAACCGACAAATTATCAAACTTGTTCGCTTATATATTCTAATAAAAGTTGCGAGGAATCTCAGAAAATGCACTGTTATCATGTTTTTGTCATTTTTATAAATTTTACTAACCAGTCGTTTTGATTGCTTTAGTAATTCTAGTGTTAAGAATCTCTTGTCGATATTAGAATGCTACTATTTTTCAATAAATAGGACTATTGTATCTGTTGTTATTTATCAAACTGAATAGTTTCCTTTGGTTAATTTTACAATAGCACCAGGCTCTTGTATAGCTAATTTTTTTTAGAACTGGAGTTTGCAATCTCTTGCACGCTGCTATAGTTGTATGATATGCTTTTTTGTTTTACCTGTATGGCCTTCGTACAAACGCATAAAATACAACAGGAGTTAGGAAAATACAGCTAAAATGTGAAATGTTCCTTTTGTATATATTCTACGTACACCTTTTCATTCAATTTTCGTCGTGGTACTTTTGTCGATATTATTTATATATAAATATCACTTACTGTTTTCTATAACAATTTAATGTTTCCACTTTTGATGAGATAAAGTTATAGAAATCAATGAAGACATTTCGTGTAAAAAGTATTAATAAATACCCGTGAAATATTTCACAGATTTGTATTATCATATAAGTGTCTAGACATTTCTAGACGGTACTGTACGTAGATAGTATACCCTCTGGTCTATATGAAATTGTCAATTTAAACGTACGAAGGTTTAGAAACCTTTGTTCGCAATAACATATTTTGTATTGAATTTATTGAAAATTAATCCTTTGCACTCCACTGCCGCCGCTACAGCGAAATGCCTCATTTGCAGTGCAACCCAACGTACGCCACATGATATAATCTATAACATAAAATATAAAATTACTATAATATTATAAGTAGACTGCAGATTTATATGCACGTAAAAGATGCAGAAAGCATATGAAAATTATGCACGAAAAATATGCAAAATGTATTAGTTATGCACAAAGTCTTTCAGGTTTTTCCGGCGAGGTAGATAGTGTTGTATTCTATGTAGGCAGTAAGGCAGTCTGACCACGAGTAAATATAAGCAAAATTGCACAGTATGAAGAGAGCCATCCGATAGCGCTAATAGGATTTTTGTAGGTGGAGGTACTTTGGATATTTCAAGGTCACCTCCATTTTTTTAAATGGATCGGTATATTATATATATATATATATATATATATATGAACAATACCATTGCAGTTATTTAGGTACATTGTATGTTGCATTACAATAAATTACACTCATCTTATCCATATTTTCAGTCGTTAATTGGCGATGTTATAATTTATATATTAATATCTCGGAAACTAAGTAACTCCACCCCTTATATATATATAGGAAAAAGTTGTTCAAAATGTTGAATTTTGAAACATATCCAAAAATGATCGAAATCGGATTGTAGGCAGCTTTTCTGCAGATTGACCAAAATTAGTTTATTATATATATACCGCACTTACACGCTTTATTTTTTAATTGCATAATATAGTTCAGATACAGCGACAACATCGATCAATCGATCAACACACCAATAAACAGTCTTGAAGACATTGATTACATGTCAATCTTAGTTTACACTCTACACAGCTACCAATCATAACCAGAATATACATATGTATGAATCATAACTTATGATGCTGGCAGTTTACCACATGGTGAACTGATTCAAACAAAATAAATATTCTAGGTAAAAACGGCATATGTAATATGTTATTCCATATGTTTTTACACAAATATGCAAAGCATATGCAGCATGCAAAATATGCAAAACAAAATATACATTTTTAAAATACACAAATGACATAATAACTTCCTATCCAACTCCCACATCTTTATCTTTTTTTCATAAAGATATGCATTTGCATAAATATCCGCAGTCTAATTATAAGAATAATAATATCGTCTTCATTTAAAATTCATAGGCACAAAACAAATTATATGCTAGTGAATGAGATAAAAAAACAAAACGATGGTACATACATGTATGTAGGTTTTATTTGTATTATAATACAAAAATAAAAGTAATAATAATATAAATGTTGAAATAATATAAGGAAAAGAACAAAACGGTGACACTAGGCAAACCGTACAACAACCGTAACACACGTCTCTCGCATACCAATTCGTCTCCAAACGTACAACGTACTGCCCTTTCTTCAAGCGCAAAATCACTGCCGATTTCAAACTCAGGTGCCCGTTGACCTTACATACACTCACACATTCCACTCCTCGACGGCTGTCACGCGATGACAGTGTTTATATCTTTTGTCTTTACTCGGCATCGCGCAATTTCAAATTAACTGCTCCGCGAGCACACGCACGCACACGCCACTCAACCCACACCCGTCGCACTCACACTACGCTTAACTGCTCAGCGAGCACACACACGCACACGCACCCTCATGCTCACACCCGTGGCACTCACACTACATGTATGAAATAGTACTTACATATAAATGCATAAAAGGTAATGCACAGTTATATAGCCTTTAAATCTAATCCTAATAATAACAAATAATTAATTAACAGTGAAATAAAATCCTGTAAAATAAAAACTGAAAGATATAAAATACAAATCAATGAAATAGTAATAAATATAAATAAAAAAATCAAATGTAAGAAGCACAATAATAAGACGATATAAAAATACCTGTGTTTATATTTATATCCATGTGTTGTTGTAGTGTAACAGCATTGTATTCACCACTGCCTGGTGGATAAAAGTAGAATTAAGGATATACAAACCAAATCTCCTCGAGGTTCGAAGGAACAAACAAGGTATTATGAAATAATAAGAATATAAAAGGAATTAACACATAAATGTTTATGATTTTTCTTTTTAAAACAATAATTTTGGTATTTACAATTTTCACTGCAAAAGTGTACTGGAGTTATCGGCCAATCGTGTTAATATATGCTCAGAGTGCAATTGTTAGTTTTGATAAATGCAATTTAATTGTAAATTAATATTACATAAAGGATTACGGGAATCATATTTCGAGCTCATATATTTATTTAACATATTCGTAACCGGCAACGTAGTCCTACGTCATTTTAAAATCTTTAGCTGAGTACTGATAACGTAGTTCTACGTCATTTCAAAAGTTTGTAGCATTCATCACCCATTTCTCTTTAGCAAGATGATTATTATCTTGATTTTAAATTTTTGTTAGGTTAGATATTCTCTTTATATAATAACTAGCTGAAGCTATTCTTTAAAAACGTGAATTGTAGTTCGTTATACTTTTAAATAAAAGAACCCTGCGGTATTCAGCTATAGAATTTTGAAAATTGTACGCGGTATTCAGCTATATGTCTCGCCTCAAAACCGCCGCGCCGGCTGCTGAATATGTTAATAAAAATGGAGTCGAAATCGACTTCCAAAATATTTATGAAACATGTTGTCGTTACTTTCAAACAAATTCCTTAAATATGATTGATAGTGAATTACAAAAGTAATAAAGTAATATTCGAAAGCAATAAGCACCATCCCAAATTATAATAAACCGTTTAATTTGCGGAATATTTCATGAAATACCTCGATTTGTTAATTGTCAACTTATTGGTGCTCCGCTCTATCAGAATGTATTAAATAATTAAACAGGTTGTCCGTGTGCAGTATTGAACTTGTGGTCATGAGTTAAAAATCGAAATGAGAATTTCACTGTTTGTCGCATGAAAATACAAAATTTGTGTTTACATACGCGGTATCTATATATTATTAACTAAATAACCGGTCGGAATTCAAATCATTCATAACATGCTCTGGGCTAATGTTATGAGCCACCTAAATTTGTTATGAAACTTTATTTATGCAGAATCTCGATTAATTTGATTTCTAGTCCGCTGTGAAATACGTTGCCCTGTAGTTTCGCTATAGGAAGGTATTATACGCGACCGAAAATCACATGTCCGTGGCCGAGTATTTTCGCGTATTTATGGTGGCTTGTATCGCGAATCCCGTCAAGAAACGGCGAACTGAAGTGTATAATTCTATCGAAGGCTCTTCTAACTTAATCATACGGTAAGGTATGTAGCGAATTGTATAAATCATAACTGTATAACTTGTATAACAGAATTTCCATGCTATTTATAACTTATTTACTAATAACAAATCCTTATGTTTTTCCAAATGTCGCCATTTCTGTTGGGAACTGTGGAAAAATTATTTATACTTATGTAAATGAGAGACATTAGCTTTTATACGCACTAAAAGAAGGTAGTTTCTTCCGTATTGTGCAAATAAATGTGCAAAATTTTCTTTGCAACAGTAATCTTCATCGTTCAAATTGTAACTGCGGATTTCTTCTATTTATAGCCTATGCAGCTCTGTGCAATGCAGTAAAAAACAAAACTTTCAGCAAATGCAACGAGTTTTCTATTTTGTTTGTAATCCGATGGGATACTTAAGAGAAGAAAGAAATTCCTACTTCTGCTCTTGTCTTTATGAATTATGTTATAAAATGTCATTTTGCATAAAAATCCGCAGTCAATTCATATTAAAGTTAACGTTTCTGTCCAAATCTATTCGGAGAATTATGTTATAATCATTAAAGAATACTTGCAAACTGCAAAATATTTTTCTTCTTTTTCAATATGTTAAATTATTATTAGAACTTCCGTAAAGCTTGAAATTTATTGCTATTAAACTGTAAATGTTAATGCAAACTTTCATTTACACAAATCACTTGACGACTAGCATTAAATAAAAATTTACTTTGTGCATTAAAAATTTCAATATGTCAAAAATAAAGAGTATACAGCATTGATTTTATTTCTTATCGTTAGTTACACCATGAAAAATGACTTTTAATCCTTATTAAAGTTGTGAATTTGATTTTAAATTTTCTTTAGCATCGAATATGACAGCTTATGAATGTTGAATTGCTCAAATCCGTGATTTTCAACTTCCATTGAGGTCACCGAACCCACGATCACTTGGTTTCGTTCGGTGTGGTCACTTGAAAAATGAAGTTCATCAATAGGTGCTCGGTGGAGCGGACAGTCTGAAAATCAGGATTATCCAACCGTATCGTCCTATTCTCCGTGAAACCTTTGAGATAGCAGAAAGATCGCTTTCCAATCGGGCGGATTATTGCATCGAACCCCAAGCATATCTCGATATCACGTATTAGTTATGGATTGGCTCCCACTTATCGGTAACGCAATTCTTTAATGGTCACACATTGCTATTGTCTTTCAAACAAACGTATGTATATTATGATTCAATGTAAAATAAATTAGAAGTAATTTCCATATGTTAACTTGATCTGATAACTTGATCTTATGAAATTATATTTCTGTAACTTTAGGTTAGAAGTGAAACTATTCTTTTCAATTTAGGTACGCAAAAAAGTTGAAATGTAAGCTTGTGTACGACTGTCCATGTCATGTGTTATATGTATGTAAGTCAAAAGCAACATACAGTTTAAAACTTCCAATTCATGTTATTAAGCGGGTGTGATTGTGATTTGTTAATAAGAGTTTAAAAAGAGTAGGTACCTACGTCGAGCACATCTGTGACTTTACATTATCTTTACCAAATTTGGCAAGTAAGAAAGAAAGACAAAGAGACTTTTACTGTTATAGTGCATTTTAGATGCTGCTTTTGATAAAGAATTGGTACACAAATGGAGAGTGGTGGTTATAAGTGGTTTATGCGTTAAGAAATGTTGAATTTTTAACGATGTTTACTTTATACACAATAGAAAGCTTCAAATGACAGGAATTTAAAGAAGATTTTGCTCTGATAGATTAAACAATTAAAAAAAAAATCAAATCTTGCGTTTAAAGTCGATAGGAATGCACAGACCTTTCACAAAGAATGCTACCAGGAGTTTTTTCGAAATCGTTTGCAGCCGTGAATTCATCGATAATGTAAATATAATGAACGTGACTGTGATTAAAAGTGCGTCGAAGAGTCACTTCATATTCTGAAAACTGTCCGTTACGTATGCATTACATTATTTACTTTACTCCCACTTTTAATATGAAATGATATTAAATCGATTATTTCATGGCAGTCCTTCATACGAACAGAGAATATTAAAAATATCGGAAAATTGAACAGAACATTCTTAAAGTCTTCAACTTTCGATTGCTACCAAAATATTGCAAGATCGACGATACAATTATGGAAAAAGAAACATTATACAAATTTCTATTTATCACGAGCCCTATGGAACTTTAGTTGATACTGAGAAGTTAATCATTTCTTATTTAGTTACAAAAAATCATATTTGAACGATATATGTTAACGATCAAATAACACTAAAAATTAATATCAAAGTATGCAGACTTAGGTTCAATGCATAGTATCTTCTACGCATGTCTGCTATGAATGTGAACGTTACTTGTTTTCCTTTGGCTTGTTCGACGAACTTTCTAATTTTTTTTCTTAAAACTTAAAAAAAAATTAAATTCTTTTACAATAAGGAAAAAAATGTTTGTTTTTTCCATTTATTTGTAATTTTTTTTCCATTTCAGTATTTTGAAATGGCTTAAAATATTAATCATTCAAATTAAATTGGTAAAATTGGTTCAAAAGTGCAAAGCACCATATGGAGCATCAGCTAGATACGACACCAAACACGTGAGCTACCTTCAAAAATGAACCCACTTAGATGTGCTTTAGGGGACAAAAAACAAAAAATTTATAATATTGGTTATTGCAATAAATTGACTGTATTAATACAATCTATTAAATAATTCATAGAGAATCCAGCTGACTTAAGCGACTAGAATCATTTAAGTAACATGTATCCCTGTTGAAACTTGAAACTTGAAGAATGTTTCAAAGCCCCAAACAAATACCTTGTTGCAGGTGTCACGCTGGAGGGGTCTAAGGAAGGTTCTCTCTGGTTCATCACACCCGATTGGTCGACATTGTGGCAAGCTAACGTATGGGCGGATGCTGCTTCTCAAGTTTTCTATTCACTCGGCATCGGTTGCGGTTCACTAGTCACACTCTCCAGTTACAGTAATTTCAGGAACAACTGTCACAGGTGAGCGTACGGAATTTAATAGTTATAATTAAACTGCTGATTTCATGCATTTATACGATATTAAAGCATGTGAAATACAGTAAAATACAACAATTCGATGGAGTTCAATACATGTTTTATTTTATTTTTATCTCACTGAAATCCTTAAGAGAAGAAAGAATTTTCTATTTTTACTCCTGTCTTTATAAATTATTTCATAGAATCATGGTTTGCATAAAGGTTCACGGTCTAGTTATAATGTATTGATACACATTGTACATTCTTTTCTCAAATGTTAGAACTTGTTAACGTTCAATTTTTTATCCTCAATTCTTTAAAACGTTCTTATGTCCCATAATTATGTGAGAAAATGTAGTGTCTCATTAATCATTTAAACTTCCAGTTTTCGTTCCTTTGTTGTCTTTTTTTCAGTCAGATTTGGCTTCAGAATACGATTCTACGATCGCTTGATAAGTTGACGTCCCGCTTCTGTTTATTTCTCATTTTTTGTCATTGTTTGACTAAAAAATGGCTTACTGTGAAATAGCTTCATAATACAAATGAGAATAGTTTTTCAATAAGCACAACGCAAGTATAAGAGAGAAATATTGTATACAGGGTGTTCGACTACTAGTGGGACAAAATTTAAAGGGTGACTCTTTGAGGCAAAATAAGATGAAAATCGAGAATAACGAAATAGCGACGAATGCTTCGTTTATTACTTATAAGCGTTTAAAAATTGACCCAACTCATGGCAATCCGTGCGCACGGAATGTCAGCGGATCACGGCTCATCAGGGGCGTACAGTCACTTTAAAGACTCAACGACGTGCAGGAAAAGTCGGTAGAACAGCTGTCTACTTATCCCGCAGAAGATGTGGATAACTTGTGACCGTGGTATTTGAGTCGAATCCACTTGTATTGCATTAACTCTGATTACTCGATAAAATTCGCAAGAAATGTAAATATCTTCTTACGAACATTATCGAGTAGAGGGGGGTAATGCCACCTCTAGTTGTCACGTACAACAATTGTCCTGACCACGACACACACTACACGATTGTCCCATTTTCAAAAAATGTTCACACACACTGCAAGATAGTTCCGTCCGCGAAAAATGTTCACACACTGCGCGATTAATTAGACCCGCGAGCGGTTCCTCCGTTGCGTTTAACACTCTACACGTTACACAAAATTAACACTCAAAATAATTAATTTATAACTATGTATCACTAATTTTTAACCTACACTAATTAATTTATAACAACTATTTACACTAATTTTTAACCTGCAATAATTAATAAAACCTACAATATTTAATAAAACATACAATATTTAATTAAATCTGCAATACTTAATAAAACCTGCAACAATTAATAAAGTCTACAATATGTAATAAACCTACAATAATTAAGAAAATCTACAATACTTAATAAAATCTGCAATAATTAATTTGCACTATTTATAACAACGACGTACGCGACACTACTAAATAATCACTACGTAATCGCTAAATAAACTAAAACTTAGCTTTCCGAAAATGAACTCTATTTGTTCCAAGAATGCAAAGGGCACCGTTCGGGAAGGACAACTGATATTGTTGAACTGATCCTCCCTCGTTAGGATCGATGTGGCGTAATAGCTCGATCCCCACTCTTTCATGGTCAATACTTTTTGGGAAAGAAAAGCTGCATGGGAAAATGGAGGTCCCGTTTCTCTTCGCATATTCTTAGAGCTACATCTGTATTTTTTGTTCATACACCACTTGGCACGTTGTCGAGGGTGTGCAAAGTCTGGACATTATAAAACTGTCTCTTGTCTTCTGCAGTGCGACCACCCGGATTGCCTGCAACGTGTTGCTGCTTGTGATGGGTAACCGAGCAGTTCGAGCTACTCGAAGGAGCTCGGGTGACAAGTTTATGATCTCAGCGGAGACCCGAGGCTCTGACACACGAAGGCGAAGGATGTTATCTGGCCGCCGGCAACCGACCTTCGAGTTACAATGTAACACACGGAACGAGTCACCCATGAAACAAATTTAAACTTTTACTCCTTTCAGTGTACTTGCTTAAAAATGTTACGAATAAATGTAGGAGATTCTCTTGATGAAAATAAGTCCAAACCTGGCATAAATAGAACTATATTTAATAACGTTACTTTTTTATGGAAGAAATGTGAAACAAATCAGTTTTTCATTGTTCTAACTACGACGCACTGCACCAAAAAATCTGAAAAATTGCAAGGAAAACAATTTTTATTCATACGTTATGTCGCGATACGAATTCTATGTTATTAAATATAGACCGATCTATGTCGGGTTTGATCAAGAGAATTTCCTACATTTATGCATAACATTTTTAAGAAAATACACTGAAAGGAGTGAAAGTTTAAATTTTGTTTCATGGGTGATTCATTCCGAATATTACATTGTAACCCGAGGGTCGGTTGCCGGCGGCCAGATAACATCCTTCGCCTTCGCGTGCCAGAGCCACGCGCTGAGATCACAAACCTGTCACCCGAGCTCCTTCGAGTAGCTCGAACTGCTCAGTTACCCATCACTAGTTGCTGCCATCGACAAAGACCTTGCCCATTGTGTTTTCGGCCGTCCCTTTTGACATAACTTGTAAAAAGAACTTTCAACGCCGAATGCTAACTCCATGTTAGAAACGGTTCATATTACACAGAATGTATGTGTTTAACAGTTTTCTTTATTTTATTGTATGCAGTTTCTTCATGCATCTTAATGCAGATGCGACAAATTTCTTCTTAGTTTCATTCTAATATCATTATACGTTTTGTATGATCCATGTTAATTGCATATTATTCTTTTGCGGACACAAGAACCTCAAACCTATAACAAATATTTATAATTAAGTAAGTTGGTGATGCATGATGGGGTCAAACATGTAGGAAAGAATTTCAAAACATTCCTTTTTCTCTTTAAACTTTTCTTCGTCCGTATGTCAAGGAATGACCAATCTTTACAAGAAGCGTCTATTTTGTTGTAGCTTTCAATTGCTTTGTAAATTGAATTTCACAAAAAAACTAATACACTGGTCAAAACATATCGAGGATCATGTATTGCAATTGCTATGCACGCCAGCACCATATATAATTTTCGGGGCCGTCTTTACAAATATATTTATTTATGACTATAAATATAAATTTGTTTATGATTATAATTTATCGAATCTATAGCATTTTCTTCCTTTCTTTCACTTATTGCGGTAACAATCGTGAACAATCGCAGCGTGGCGCGCGGCCACAATCCCGTCCACATTCAAGCAACATGTAACAGAAAAGTAGGCTGGTAACTCTTTAAAAATTAATTTTTTATATGCCCGGCATAAATATATAATTTTCTTTGTTTTAACACAGTACTTAATGTTCGGGTAGGCATGATAACAAATAGACATTCCTTATGATATTTTCTACGATGCGCGTCAGAATGCTCGTGTTCGATTTAACGTTGCACGAAGTCGTTAGCTGTGCGTTGATCCATTAATATCGACCCTTTCAAGAGTGTTCTACAATGCGCGTTGCAAGTATGTGGACCTGTCTTTAGGCCCGTAAAGCTTAAAATATATTCATAGCTATATATAATATACACTGCGCGTCAAAATTAAGGGACCACTAAAATTTGCCCGAAATATTAGTCATTTTCAAATGACTATATTTCCGCGAAAAATAGTTATAAAAAATATTGTAAAGGACCATTTTGTAGCCTGATGTTTCTAGTTTTTGAGTAAGGAATTCAAAAATTATTTTCATCTCGCTTGTTCCTTTTTTTTAAGATGAAGCGCATCAAGCGAATGTTAAAAACTGTTGGTCAAACTTGAGAGGATGCTTGGGCCATACAAAATTTTTTCTGGTTATCCCAATGGAATACTTTTAAAGATCAAAGTTTAATTTCGTTTTTTTTAACTTTGTTGTACAATTGTTATTGGCCAAGTTATTCGTCATCATATAAGAAAAGGTACTTTCCACTTTGAGCGTCTGTAACTTGCGAACGCATGATCGTATAGAAAATTCCAAAAGAATTTTGGAAAGCTGAGAGATTTCTCTTTAAAGGTCTTTAAAGGTCTAAGTGTGTAATTTCTATATTAGGATTTTGCCGTTTTACGCACGAAATAAAACCTCCTTTATTGCCCATCATTGCCTCAGCACCATCCGTGCAAATACTAGTACAATTACTCCATGGAATATCATAGGTTTTGAAAAAATCATCTGTTACTACGAAAATTTCCTTGCCGGTAGTTCGCTTTGGAAGCTCTTTACAAAATAAATAGTTTTCTATTATGGTGCCCTCATTAACGAAACGTACAATAGCTATCAGTTGTGCTCAATTTTTAATGTCTGTTGATTCATCAATTTGAAGTGCAAACTTCTGAGCAGTTTTCAGTTTTGCAATTAGTATTCCTAAAATATCGCCCGATATATCATTGATACGTTTTTTAACAGTATCAGCTGACAACGGTATTTTTTTCACTTCATTAACTTCTCTAGGCCCAAGCATGGATTTAACAATTTCTATGCATGCTGGTTTAACGAGTGTCTCACCAATAGTATGTGTTTTTTCTGACGTGCAATTAATCTTGCAACATGGTAACTAGCTTCTAAGGCTTTATTAAAAACTGTGACTGACGATAACTGTTCCGTCGTAGACCCGAAATGACGGCTTTAAAGTCGGACGATACTGTTATTTTTGATTATTTTATTTCCTTCGTTCAGGCAGTTTATACATTTTCGAGACCGGCCCCTTGCAATTTCAATTTCGTTGACAAAAGGGAATAAGAGACAAAAGACTCGAACATTTGGTCTGCAGTCCGCCACATGCGCTCGGTAACTTGGGACCCATCCGCGCCGGGCCTTACCGGGGCGCGCTGACTCGCAAACAATACAGCTATAAACCCTACCGTTGAGAGACTCGAAAATTCGTCGTGGTCAAGTCGCACGGTGACCACATGCGCGATATTTTTCTGGCGTCCGCTTCGCCCCGAAGGAGAGTTTTTCCACCTCCAG